AAAAAATCGGTTAGTGTATTCTTATGGAAAAAGATGAGTAGTGAGAAAAAAACGATTAGTGGCCTCCAAACCAACTAAATATATAGAAACACGTCGAATATAAAAACGAAGAATCCCAAGAAAAATTCGAAATAAATAAGCCAATCCATTAACAGAAAAATTGAAGCATTCTAAAAACTGAGAGGTAAATTGCAGACTCATCTAGAAAGCTATGTGTAGTATATTCTAAAACGTACATGATCTCTGGAACGTAGGTCATCGAATGCTCAGTCTCCTATTCATAAGTCTTAGGAAAACAAGAAAGCAAACAATTTACACTGAATAGCTCAAACCTTGGAACCATGCCTGCGGACCACCCTGTGCAAAAGCAAGTCCTCTTACATTAAAAAGGAGAATATAAGAAGTTGATAGAGGAGTGTGAGTTGCATGCAGAAGGATCAACTAGAGGCCGCAATAATTAAGCGCATGCAAGTATTTAGTTAAGCATAATAATGCGTGAGTAATTGTGCATAAAAGTTCATGTCTACATAGAGTGTCTCTGGGTATTGATAGTAGTGAAAAAAACGGCGCCTAATGAGTGCCCAAAGATAGTATCGCAGGCAAGTCAAGAAAAATTTTTAGAAGATTAAATTAAAGAGAGATCAAATTAGAGGCAAAGTGAAAATATACTTTTCACTTTCTATATGCGTAATGCATAGTTAGAGAATCACAATGCAGCACGTACCCCGAAAATATAGAGGAAATAGGGGAAAATTATAAGTTCGAAGAAACAGGAACAAAACGATTAAAAATGAAGGAATAATAAGTGGTAGCAAAATATTTATTTGCGGGTCGATAGAATACAAAGCAACTTGGAATAGAGGCATTGAGTGTCAATGAAAAATGGATGGAGACAAAGCAAGTGTAAGCGATTAAGGAAGATTGAAGTGAAGTGGAGATAAGATACTACTTATCAAAGATTAAAAAAGTGAGTTCGAGAATAAGAAAGAGTGCAAAATCTTCATGGGAGTCAACGGGAGAACGAATGAGTAACCATAATTTCCAACCCATAAGTGCAACTGAAAACATGCAAAAAAGCACAGCGAGACCTAAAACAGTTTAAACACATGAGCACACAAGACAGGGTTGCAAAAGATGAAGATACTTTTAGCACTTGATTCTACTGCAAGCTAAAAGAATGAAATAAGATATAATGAGCCCCCTATTAATTTATGGGTGAAAGTTAAGGAATATAAAATTGAGAGGGCCGTATCAACATTGGGGTTTCAGAGTTAGCAAAAGTAGCTGAAGGGTTCGAAAAAACTGAAGACAAGAGAAGAGAAGCAAAGCGAAACCTGAGGCCATCGACGGATGAGTGGGAAGAAATTAACCGAGCCGGAAAAAATGAAATGAGGGCCTAAAACAAAGGAACCCTATGTATAAGATGTCAACGTGAGTGAAGGATGGAGAATGTTCAAATGGAATAGTAGGTAAAAATTGCATTAGAAAAATAATATATGTGAATAAAAACATTTTTATTTATACATAACGAAAAGTAAGAACCATGAATCAGAATTGTTAAGCCGAAAGTCCCAATTCTATGATCAATGAAAAAGTAGAAATACTATAAAAGTGGCTTTTGCCAAACATGTGTGCATGTGTGCGCGCCATAGTTTCAGTATACCAGTGAATTCTAGAAGTAGGGCTGGCAGATGTTTCGATTAATAGAAAAAATATGATATATGTAAACATGATAATTATGTGATGAGTTCAATTTGGGAAGTTAAAAAAGGCATAGAGGAAGAATAGATAAATGTTGACAAGGCATGGATGTTGTCTAAACTTGGGGGTCCGATTCTGGAGAAGGATGAAGGAGAGGTTCGTCATCACCTGGCTGGACGAACGTCGATGCCAGGGTTGGTGGGGCATCCGTAGTAAGGCAGAGGATAGGAACATCATCTATGTTGGCTGCCAGCACGTGAGGTGCTGTGCTGAGTAATGTAGATGTAGCTTGCAATGTGATAGGTTGCGAATGCACATCTGATTTAGGAGATGCGCGGCTGCCAGTATCTGGAATCGTCGAAGGCTGAGTTAGTCCAGGATGAGAATGGATCAATAAGTCGAGGAAAGGCGAATCCTCAGCATCATGAAGGGCAGATGACTGATTAGAGGCTTGATTTGGGAATTTATGAAAGATCATTAACAATAATTATAAATGAGAGTGTAAGGAAGCGAATAGCAAAAATGCAAAAAAAACACATGGAAATACCAATTTTTCCCAAAAATGCTAGTAAACGACTTTCGGAATTGTTTATGCACCGATTAAAGCCGAATAACTTAAGTGATGAAGATAATGAAAAAACCATAAATAATCAATAATAATTATACATGTAAACTAAAGCAAAGGATTCCTCACATTTTCCCTGCATATGAATTAAAACGTAAATATATGAACGGTTACAATTTCAAAAGATAAATATCGCTAGCAACCTGTAATCAAGGCATCTGCATCACCCCCCCCAGTAGCCAGGTCCTCATCTATATCATCTTGTACATATAATAAAGGCCGTAGATCCTCCTTTTTAACCGATCGCCTCCTTTCTCCTTCAGAGGAGCAGTGTACCCGTTGGGCTCTGACGTGGCGACGCGAACGATGACGCGAATTGTGATCAGAGCGGCAATATACTGTCATTGCAGGCAGTTGTCGGCTTCCGGGGACCAGATCGGTCCGCAAGTCAGTTGGTTGAGGGCTGTCCCTGACTACGCTTGTAAGAGGAGAGTCGACATAATATTCTGATCTTCCTTCGTTCGCTCCAGCTTCCGCTCCGTTACTACTTCTTTCGTCCTCTTCGTCATCGCCACTTGAAAAATCACTGTGAGGCTGTTGCATCGCACTCTCATGCCTTCGCCACCAAAGCCACCAGCTCCGTTGTTGTCGATGCGGCAACAACGATGCGGATTGTGCTAGTGATACATTCGCTACGACTTGATCCCCGCTGTCTAGGGGTCCATCTGCCCCTTCGGTAGCTACATCTGTGCCAAGGAGGCCACGAGAAGCAGCGGTCCTATTAGAAGATCGTCGACGCCTGTTGGATCTTACAATACCTCGGCGGAGCCCGGTTGCAGATAAGGCATCACCTGGTTGTTCAGCAGATGGGACTAAGTTGGCTGTATTGGCAGAGGCTGCCGGCACTTCATCAGGAAGACCAGGAATTTGAATAGTTTGATTGCAGGCCGGACAGCGGCGGTGATTGCGCAGCAGCCAACGGTCAATACAGCGTAGATGGAATGCTGATTGGTATCAATGGATAAACCAAATATTTGAACTAAGATGAAGAGTATAAGTCGTGAGAAATAATATGGGAAAACATAGTGTTCTAGATTATACATCAAAAATTGGACGAATTTACAGAAAGCAACATCAATTAGAATGGAAGCGGTATGACCTCTGAGGTCTGCTGAA